TTGACATGGACCTCGTTCGTGCTGCGATAGACGAGTGGCTGCGCAGATTGAAGGCCTGTATTCAAAATCACGGAGGTCATTTTGAATAAACTTTAGTGTCATAAGAATCTATGTTTTGTTAAGTTCATTTTGGTATATGAATGGTTAGATAATGAATAAACTTGTTTCAATTATTTTACATTAAACATGTGACAGAATTTATGACCTGACTAGGTATATTTGAACGTACATATAAAAGTATGTATGTCCGTCTCTGGTATCCTTAACACAGTGAATCCTTATTTGGGACCGGATGACTGTGCGTGATATGTTCTGGTTTTTTTTTAAGCACTGTAGTATGATGTTTGATTCAATCTCTTTGTACGTCAGAATATGTTATTTTTATCCGACACCCTTATTTGACCTTTTTAACTTCTCCCTTGTTACGGAAAATACGAATACATATACAAATATTTCTTGGAATAATTCTGAAATAGAATTGACAGATGTGTTCCTTTTCGGCTAACAATAATTAATATCTTATGTCCTGCATTCTATAGGGAAGTATATTTCTGCTGAAGCGTATTGGGTTAGTTGGTCAGTTTCAAGCATGAGGGAGCCATTACGAAATTATTTTTCCCTACCTATTCGCTGGTAGTCTTTGGGGCTTTTTTTTTATTGCCTTTGTAGGCAGACGAGCATACGGCCTACCTGATGGTGAGTAGTTACCGTCGCCCATGGACTTCAGCAATGCCAAGGGCAGAGCCAAGCCGCTGCCTACCGCTTAATACTCTCCACAAGCCTCGTTTGAAGAAGGACATGTCATAGCGCTCGGGAAACACCGTGGAGGGGAGCTCATTCCATAGCAAGATGGTACGTGGCTATTCCAGCTAAACCCAAACGAGTAGGAGAGCTCATGGGGTTCAACCTGAGAGAGCTTGCTAACACTAACCCTAGCAAGAGCGGTTCTTGAATCTCCCACCGGATCGAAATCGCGTACCACTAAGAAAATCCGACGAGAAACTCAGTTTTTTTTTTATTGCTTAGATGTGGTCAGCCCACCTGGTGTTAAGTAGTTACTGGAGCCCATAGGCATCTATGACGTAAATGCGCCACCCACCTTGAGATATAACTTCTAAGGTCTCAGTATAGTTACAACGGCTGCCCCACCCTTCAAACCGAAACGCATTACTGCTTCACGGCAGAAATAGGCAGGGTGGTGATACCTACCCGTGCGGACTCACAAGAGGTCCCACCACCAAAAATGGGTTATATCTATGAGCTAGGTTGCTCCTCAAACTCTGCCTCGTAATCGAAGAGCTTCACCAATAAGGCGTCAGCTCTGTCTCGACGCGGTCAGCAGAAATCACGATAAGGTGTTCATGGATTTTAGCGCTTTTGGACATCTCAGCTTATGATTCCCGAATGACAAATAAAAATCGTGAAATTACGATGTAATTGTCTTTCGCAAAACGTAAACAACAAAACAACATCAAATAGTTCATGAGTCAGTTACAATTCATAACAACACTGACTAAATACTCTTACGGTACATTTCAAATCGTATATCGGCCATTTTATGGTACAGTGACGTGTATAAAATGGCGGCATACGTTTGCAGTGTTGCTAGATCATTAAAAATTGCGATTTTCGGTTTTATATTGCGGGGTACCGTCGTTTACAGGAAGTTATCAACTTAAAAAACGTTGGCTGTGCTGCTGGCATTAATGGCATCCATGAGTTACAATAACCACTTAAAATCAGATAGGCCGTATGTCTTCGTCCGGCAAGAAGAAAGGAAAGCACTTCAGACGCTTCAGTCTCGATGAAAAATTTTTACATTGCAAGCGACGTAAGAATATCAAAATCGTGTGCAATATGTGGTTTGGAGTTTCCTTAAAATTACGATTTTACGAAGGATGTAGGCACTAGGAGATTATACAGGCTTAGCTTAATAAATTAACATTGTGTTTGCTTGCCTTCGGGTATCTTATACTCTGTAAATACGGCATTAATCTGTGGCTGTGTGATAACATTGCATCGACATTGCTGAGGCTGTGAAACTTTTATTTAAAACCGTTTATTTGTTTGGCATAAAACGAAGTGAAACCCTTTTTGTTGTTACTCAAATACATATCTGTTAGATTGTAATATGGTGGGTAGAGTTGAAAAAGTGTCCACCTGTAAGCAGCAATAGTCCGAGTGTAGGAAGTGGAAATGATATGAATATAGCAGTTTTAAAAGTGGTGGTCGAACTTACTGGTGGTAGGACCTCTTGTGAGTCCGCGCGGGTAGGTACCACCACCCTGTCTATTTCTGCCGTGAAGCAGTAATGCGTTTTGGTTTGAAGGGTGGGGCAGCCGTTGTAACTATACTAGAGACCTTAGAACTTATATCTCAAGGTGGGTGGCGTATTTACGTTGTAGATGTTTATGGGCTCCAGTAACCACTAGCATCAGGTGGACTATGAGCTCGTTCATCCATCTAAGCAATAAAAAAAAAAACAGAGTGAAGTGTGCTGGATTGTAATGACGTGTGGTAGTTTAATATGGGGCTGTTTTCAAAATCTTTCCACTTGTACTATGGCGCCGCCTTCCTATTTGCAACGAAAATCATAATAACTAATATAAAAGAAATATTTCGTTTTTAAAACGCTGACAACATTCGTTTACCGCCATTACGATTTACGAGGGCTTTAACGTACACGCTTTATCGAATTTCCCGGCATTTCTCGAAATAAAACCGTAGCTAGAATTCGGGCGGCGCCTCCATTGTAGTCCGTTTGTGGAATTCAATTATTATTCGATTATAATGTACACAATTGATCGCTTATATAGGTACCGAATGTTTATGTACTTCCCAATGCTTTTATTACCTGTTTTTTTTGCGGGTTTTATGTTTATACTACACGATTTTATTCGTTCACCGTGGAAGTCCATCGTGAACACTTGCTAAGTACGTATTTCAGAAAAATTGGTACCCGCCTGCGGGATTAGAACACCGTTGTATCGCTAGATACGAATACACCGGACGTCTTATCCTTTAGGCCACGACGAATCTCAGGCTGAGTCCCGTGAGCTCGCCTGGACAACATACGGCGGTTCCATGAGCTCGTCTGGGGAGACATGTTCCTATTTATGTACACAGTCAAATATGCGTTCAAGAAACACCTTCAGAGTAGTTCATTCAAAAGCCGGATGGAAGCAGGAAGAGTAGTGCAATGGTAAAAAGAGGAGAGGAGAGAGAGGACGGGACCATCGGGCAGCCGTTTTAACTATACAGAGACCTTGTATCTCGAGGTAGGTGGCGCATTTACGTTGTAGACGTCTATGGGCTCTATGTGAGCTCTATGTAAGCTCATCCATCCATCTAAGCAATTAAAAAAAAAAGTGTGTGTGTCCGCTCCGACGCACGACTGGAGTTTACTGGATATAAAAAATTAAACGAAACAATACGAGAAATAGTTCTATATTACGACAACACGATACACTACAGATTATTAACAAATTAACGAGACACAAAACAAACGACTAACAAATATATGAAAATACAATAATGAGAGAAACGCGCGATCAGTACGAGGCTTTGTGGCGGACTGCCGGCGCAGCAGCCCGGCGTCACCTGCGATAACGCGGCCGCGCGTTGGCTCCTGATTGGCGCGCGCACGCATCACGCAATCAGGAGCCAATCAGGCGCATAACGCATTTCGTGTGACATGCTAGTACGATTTTGATTGGCGCGCGCACGCATCACGCAATCAGGAGCCAATCAGGCGCATAACGCATTTCGTGTGACATGCTAGTACGATTTTGGTCCCCATAATTTTCATACCCCGGGCCTATATATGTAAATCGATTCTAAAGGAGTAAACTCCAAAAACCTGCTCACCCCCCATCATACGACACACAACCGCACAGAATATCCGTAGACCCAAAAGATCGATCTTCCCTCTTCCGCGTGGTCCAAAATGGAAAAAAAAGCTGGTAGGTACTTCGAAGTTCCGATAGAAGAGGTGGTAACAATACTCCACGCGAGGCAGCATCAGGGCTTGTATGTAACCCACAGTTTCACTCAACACTGAACACTAAGCATTTTAGAAGTTAAATTGACTTTACCAACCCTATTACTCCAATACTGACTGCCACTGGAAACACTGACCCACAAGAATCTTAATAGCCTCGTAAGAGGTATATTCTGTAAAATTGTGGCTTCATGGCGGATGCACGACCAAACTTACCTATGTCTTAAATAAGTAGACCAAATTAAATCACCACACTTAAATTATTTCTCACAGAATTCTCCTCCACTTAAGATTTCATTGCTTCTATTCAACTAGACTCCAAGATATACTCTGATGCCGGCTTGATGTACATTTCTCGTACTCCGTACAAATACGACTCCTTAATGGAACCTTTCATTTGTAAACGTAACAGAAACATTGGATTCACAACGAATTATAGTTAAGTAGTTACTCGAGCCCATTAATATCCCAACCTGAATGCACAGGCGTTTCAATTATTCTGATTAACGGCTGTTCCTGGCTACTAGCCCGCACAGGTTGATACCAACAGCTTACCAATCCTTACCGCGACGCAATCACGCGCGCTAATGCACGGCAGCTGTTATACAAAGGGAAATCGAAAATGTTATCCAATCTTTATACGTGTCCTGCTTTAAGGATATTTATATTCGACGATTTCGACAAGAAAGCTAACCAGTGCTTAGCAAGCCTAAAAACACCAAGAATGGATCCTGAACTTCCGACATTGATAAAAAACACATAAGTTTAAAATACAGGCTTGAATCGATTGTGCTAATTTGTAGATTTTTGTAGTTTTTAAGTACTGTCCATCATTTTCTCTTACTGTACTGTAATGCATTAAGTAAAAAAAAAAAATTATTATTATATTTGAAACCTCGTTAATCATGAGATCGTTTGCCCAAAAACACAGAAAAGAACCTTGATTTGACAATCGTAAACATTTGACATATTGTTCCTACGTCAGTTAAAAACAAAATAAAACAATGTGGATTGAATGTAACCGTTGTAACGTATTTGTAATATTAAGGAAATGTTTCATCATTAATACAAGATTAGGTTAAGTCTAATGAATTAAAGTGAATAACTACAGAAACTTAAAACTTTATCTACTCTTAATTTTAAATAAAAATTATAGTCAAAAGCTAAGTTTCAAACCGCATTTAAATTATCGTATTGAATATTTCGTAGGTAACTTACAAATTAAATTTGTCTTTGTGAAAATGTCTCGTACGCAACTGAATTTGATTGCGGCCGCGTGTGAGAATATGGGTATAGGTATAAACGGTACATTACCTTGGAAATTAAAGTAAGTAATAATATTTTCTTAACTTCCACCGTTTTTTGTTGTTGAAATATTTCTCATTAATTAAGTCTTTTTTATGATCTAAATTTCAAGGTAGACATGAGCACTGGGTCGTTTCAACTGGGCAGCTTTTAGATTGCACTGTACAGCTTAAAGACAGCACTGACTTTGACCTTGTAGTTTAACCTTAAAATATCTTACTATCTATCTTACTAAGCCATATCTTAAAGCACTGACTTTGACCTTGTAGTTTAACCTTAAAATATCTTACAATCTATCTTACTAAGCCATATCTTAACACGCATTTCTTAAAAGGGATTCACCTGAGAATGGGCAGCGGCGTTTTCTGAGTATGATACTGACATACTGCATTCCCAAATTAGCATTTTCTGGTGATATTAGCCCCACCACACACACACACACACATATTATGCCTATTTCTACTGCAAAACAATCACATGTTCCACTCTGGAGGTACACCATTATACAATACTTGTTTAATAATTGAGATTGCTCTCAAATCTCAAGATGGGTATTTCTTAGCTTAGTGACATTGTTCTTGAATATCTATCTAAACACACTAGATCAATTCTGTAACTCCAGGCACTATAAAAGAACCCTGCTCTGTTGTAATTAAGATGCAGAATTATTATTTCCGTTTTATAAAAAAGTTTTTTTTGCATCCCTTTCTGAACAAGGTCATTATTTAAACAACCAAGGCTTGCCTAATGAGGGAAATCTAACTATAACCACAACTATTTTGTTATCAACATCTCTCAAAAAAAAAAACAGCCATACTAAATTCTTTGCTTTAATATCACTAAAGTAAAGGCCAATAAATAGAGAACAAAAAAAGAATGTCAGTTAACAATCAGATAACAAAATAGTCTTATGTTATTTACATATCAGCACTATTATGACCATGCTCTTTGTGGACTTTGTGGACTTTACTTAAAACCAATTGGGAACTTAATAGATTATAACAAATTTCAGAAAAGAAATGGCTTACTTCACAACGATGACAACTAGCGTCAGCGATAAGAAGAAAGTCAACGCAGTGATCATGGGTCGACGTACGTGGGACTGTATACCCATAAAATATAGACCGCTTAGTAATAGAATTAATATTGTATTAACTCATAATGTTGATTACGTGAAAAAACAAGTAGGTAATATTTTACATTATTATAAATCAATCAGCATTTTAAATTATTGTCTCTTAAGTCCGTTGTATAAAAAGAAATGAAGATTTCTTTGTAAAAAATATTTTCGTCTATACATTCCTAAACCGTTTATCAAAATGTGAAGAAACTTGATAAAGCTGTATGTCACTTAAGGGAAGGTTTCAGTCGTAGTACCATCAACATCAAATAGATGATAGGCTTGTAGGTTATAGATTATCTCAAACATGTAGGAATTCATTGTTTTTTATCCTAAATAGAGTCAGAACTAAAAGTTTTTGTTTTTATTAGTGGTAGGGCGTTTTGTGAGCTCACACAAGCGCCTACCACTACTCTGCCTATTTCTGCCATCAATCACTAATGTTTCGATTTGAAGAGTTGGCCACTTGTACTGACAAACTGAGACTTAGATTTCTCATGGTGGGTGGCAACATTAACATTTTTGAAGTCTATGGACTCCGGTAACCACTGAACACCAAGAGAGCTGTGAGCTTGTCCGAAAAAAAATTTGTACATTTTAGTATGAAATTAAGTATAGTAACTAAAACAGAAATTGTATTCCTTAAATATATGAACTAATTAGGTTTCTTTTGTAATTACAGGTCCCAGAAGGAGTAATTGTTGTGCCAGGATTAGATGAGGCAATTGATCACATAGACAGTAGGTCAGATATAGAATCTACTTGGGTCATAGGTGGATCTTCAATTTATAAGGTAATTTATTTTAATGACATAGAAGCTAGTAGGCTTATTCATCTTCTTATCAGCACACAGACGTCCACTGCTGGACATAGGCCTCCCCAAGCCTCGCCACAAAGACCTGTGCTGCCTACATCTAGCATAAATGTCGCCACCCACCGAGTTCTAAGGTTTCAGTATAGTTACAACAGCTGCCCCACCCTTCAAACCGAAACGCATTACTGCTTCACGGCATAAATAGGTAGAGTGGTGGTATTTCTGCTGCTTTTGAAAACAATGGAGTTAAGTTTCTATATCTTAGTTATGCGAGGTCACTATTACTTGTGGCATGGTTCCAGGGACATAGCCTAATGGTTCCACTTTTGATTTCTGATGGATAAAAAAAGCTTCACAACATCACTTAATCGGTGAGATGTAGGTAATTATTAGAGATGAAACGGATATCCAGTAACTAACCGGTATCCGGCCATCCGGCCATGTTTTCACTATCCGGTATCCGGTAAAATTTAAGAAAATCTAATGGTTATACAAAAGGCAAATATTACCACAATAGGTTATAGACAACTTTTATTTTTATAATCGCACGTCAAAGGTGATTGTTTTATTAATTAGTTTGTTTAATACTCAAAATTAACAAGTGGCAAATTGTGGTGAATGAATACCAAATCGTCGTCGTACCGAGTCATCGCGATCTCCGCTCACGTGCGACAACACCCGAACGCGCACGAATATTTCCGAAAGGGTCGAATATCCGGTGCTCCGGCCAAACCACTATCCGTTTCATCTCTAGTAATTATGAGAAACCTGTATGTGGCCACCGAAACAATAAAAAATATCATTAAACAAAACTAATCTGCCAAAAGTACATAATCAGTTGGAATTGTGAGCGCACATAATATGATATAAGTATCAAATCAAATCATGTCCACTTCTATCACAGAGTAGTCCATTTCGATTTGTAGAAAGTGACGTTAAATAACAATACCATTTAATTACCAATATTCTCTCAATTTTAGGCTGCAATGGAGCATCCGAACTGTGGAAAAATATATCTAACGGAGATACAAAAGTCTTTCGACTGTGACACATTCTTTCCCGACATTAACAAGCAGCGATTCCATTTAGTGAATGAAGAAGAAGTACCAGGGGAGAAGCAGAGTGAAGGCGACATCAACTATTACTATAGGATTTACAAGAGATTATAAAGTTAATGAAAACTTTTCTCTTTGGTGTTTATTTTGTTTGGTAAATCAGTGTTGTATGGAGGAGTGTGTAGTGTAGAAGTCAATAAGGCCTAAAGCCAGTTAGACCTAGTGAACTTGTGTTGAGTGATGAAACTGTGCCATTATTCAAATCCTGCTGGAATTTGTTGGTATATTTCTTAAGGATTACGTAGGTACCTACCTTAAATATGTCCGCGAATGAGGTTGAAAGTGTAATTGCGTATATACACTGGTAGAACTGTGGTATGTATAAGGCAGCACAATCTTTTCTTACTGTCATGAAGAAATTATGTGCTCCGGTTTGAATTTTACCCTCAGGTCTTTACTAGTGGTAGAACGTTTGGGTGTCACCACCCTGCCTATTTCTGCCGTGAAGCATTAAGGTTTGAAGGGTGGGGCAGCCGTTACAACGGCTGGAAAACTGAAGTTTAGAACTTATGTCTCAAGGCGGATGGCGGTTTGGGAGGCTTAAACGACAAAGGGAAGATCGTCCACCGAGCGGGTGATATTTGCTCGGTAGACCGCCGGTCCGAATGTTGTTGTTCGGTACTTGCATATATGCAAGCTTATCTTGAAAATGTCGTAAGCGAGATTCAGGCATCTTTGTCAAATATCGTCGATTCATCTAAGCCAGCCTTTCCCAAAATGGGCGATAACGCCCCCTTGTGGGCGCTGTAGGACTGAAGGGAGTGGTACCAGAAAAAAATGGCGGCATTGTGTAGGGGCTTGGGAGGCGATTTGTAATTTAATCTAAGAGGACTCTTAGACACCAACAACTGTCACTATAATGGTTTTTAAGTACCTAGATGAAAAAATGGGGGCGCAAAAAAATTATTTATTCTCAAAGTGGGCGGTAGACAAAATAAGTTTGGGAACTCCTGATCTAAGCAATAAATAAAAAGGTGGGTGGTGGCATTCGAATTGGAATTAGGTACATTGTGAATTAACAATTTCATAAATACACTCTTGAATACGTTTAGATGACAAAATGTAAGTAAATAAATAAGGGAAAGTAAGTAGGTATTTTAACAATTTTATAAACTGGCAATCTTTGAAAAAGTAGTACAATTCACTTGCATATAAAAATATATTATTTAGATCATACTGCACAAAAGTCAAACACATATACCGAACTTTCAAGATATGGGCAGTGGAAAAAATTCTAGGGCTTTCATAGTAGGCATGTTTTTTTCGTACCTAATTAGCATTAGCCTCGAAGTCATATTCCAGTTTCAAGACTGTTGGTCAAACTGCTAACATCTACTCCAACAAGAGCAGCGCTTCTTTGAATCTACCACCGGCTTGAAATCTCGACCCACTGAGAAGATCCGGCGAAAGTCTCAGTAGATTATATCTAGATACCAGGCAGTGCTAGCGTCTACTAGCTATGATACTGGTCATACATACAGCACCTAATACTTAGCTGCAACAGAACAGGGCTTGGTGTTGAAGAGGTTAGCGAAGCTTACAGACAACGCTGCCAACCCTGGGACGACGTTGAAGCATCAATAAGATTTCCCCACCCTTCAAAGCGGAAATTGCGCTGCTTTTGACCGGTATATAATAATATGATGGAGAAACGTGCAGACTGAGTGTATAACTTTTAGCAACTGAGGAATTGAGATGATACCATCATCTCGTTTTTTATCATCGCACCGGCCGTCACCGGAGTAGAGTTCAACCGTACTACCTGGAGCCACTGCGTTCATCCAGTGCGTTTCCAGAGATTTTTTTGCCACGTACCATCCGGATTTGGAATGAGCTCCCCGCCACGGTGTTTCCCGAGCGCTATGACATATAATTCTTCAAACGAGGCTTGTGGAGTATTAAGCGGTAGGCAGCAGCTTTGCTTTGCCCCTGGAATTGCTGAAGTCCATGGGCGACAGTAACCACTCACATCAGGTGAGCCGTACGCTCGTCTGCCTGCAAGGGCAATAAAAAAAAGTAAAAAAAATAGCACTCCTATCACCGACATTTAACACTACCAATCTTCATTTATTGATCTAGCAATTCCAATACTGCATTCATGTTTGTTCTATATTAAAATCGTTAATAGAAATAAAACACGCGATTTTTCGTATATATATATTTTTTTATTTATTCATTTTAATCGATACGCTTCAAAACTTACAAACAGGGTGTTCGATAGTTAAGTAATAATACGTTATTTGAAAATACTGCTCCATTTGAACACTCTGAACGATGTCTAGAGAACCGACTGTGAGTTGTTTGATGTGGAAAGATTGTTTAAAACTAAATTGAAGATTTCTTAAAAGCCGACATGGCGTATTGCCAGTATAATAATAATTAAAATACTAATATAGTCAACCGTAAAATGAAAATTACTGGACTAAAAACACCAACATTTGGTTTGAAAATTGGTGGTTAACAAAAAAGAAATGATATTACTGATTTAACGCATTCAAAAATAGTCAACTTATATTTAGACTAATTCTCATTGAGTTGCCTCGCTGAGGTTACAGTATACTACAAGTGGTTACAAATCAAAACAATCTTTCCATGAAGACAGTTGTTAAGTCTAAATAAGTACCGTCGGCATGTTAAAACGCTAGTGGAAATCAATTAAAAGAAGTAGTCTTAATTCTAATAATAATAATAGTCTAAGAATTAAAATTTAGATATTTCCATTCGCACAGATAATATCTAAACTACAAGGATATTTAACTTAATAATTACAAGAATTTAATAATTTGTAGGTAATAAAAGTGAATGTTTTTTTTTTTGCTAACGCTACACTCGGTTAATACTTGTAATTAAAAGTAAAAGAAAAAATTAAGTTGCTAAGTCATTTTTTTTTTTGTATTTTTTTTTTTTTTTTTTTGCTCTAACCCGGTTGGGGTGACATTTTACACGACGACGGAAACACGAAATAATTAACAATCATAATAATAAATGAAAGAAAAATAATAATTGAAAAATTATATTTAAATCCCGCAATGAGTATTTGGAAGTTGAAATTTTTCAATTTCTCACTTACAAATGTCATTGAGAGAATAGAAAGTTAACTTTTATTCCTTTGGCTTTGAAATTCTAGGAAATAATTATTAGAAATTTCTAGTTCTATACCCAGTTTTGTAAGCTAGTGAGGCTTGACAATTTATTCAATCTTTTGGCCAATGTAGTAAGTAGTAGTGTTTCAAAGAAATTTGATCTCAAATAGATTTTTATTGCCTGGTCTTAATACCTCACTAGAATGACTATTTATATTGGACTATTAGATTAGATGCAAATCTGTTTTTTTTTTTTAATAAATACACAAATATCAATGTTTTAGAGTTTCAAGTTCCAAACAAATAAAAGTATTTTCTCTTTTTTTTTTCTTTTTTTACATTTTTTTTTTTTTAATCTAAGTAATATAGAATAATCTAGTTTAATAAAATCATTAAACGCGAACTGTGCTAAGAAAGCCCTTTATCATGTATTTAAATTTTAAATGTGCATTTTGAATACTGATTTAGAAAGGATCTCTAAGTGCTTGACTTGAACGAGTCGTGGATAATCTAATGTTGCCATATGAAAAAAACACGACATATTTTGTGGAAAAAATGAGGTTGTTTTTTTTTTGTTAGCTTCACCCGAGAGGAAGCTTTGTTTATGAATAAAATTTTACTGCATATTGTAGTGTAAGAAAATGTAATTAGGGTTGTTGATGTGCTGTGGGGTCAGCGGCGAATTCGGAGCCAGAACTTGGAATCCCATGAACATGAAAGTCCGCAGCAGGGTAGCGCGGTCGGGACGACTCTTCAGAACGCAGATGATGCAACTGGAATACAAATTACACATCGACGGGTGAAAAGCTGTTTCGCTTAAGCGACATTCTACTGGTGGTAGGACCTCTTGTGAGTCCGCACGGGTAGGTACCACCGCCCTGTCTATTTCTGCCGTGAAGCAGTAATGCGTTTCGGTTTGAAGGGTGGGGCAGCCGTTGTAACTATACTTGAGACCTTAGAACTTATATCTCAAGATGGGTGGCGCATTTACGTTGTAGGTGTCTATGGGCACCAGTAACCACTTAACACCAGGTGGGCTGTGAGCTCGTCCACACATCTAAGCAATAAAAAAAAAAAAAAAACTTGTCCCCACGGGTAGGTACCACCACCCCGCCTATTTCTGCCGTGAAGCAGTAATGCGTTTCGGTTTGAAGGGCGGGGCAGCCGTTGTAACTAAACTGAGACCTTAGAACTCAAGGTGGGTGGCGCATTTACGTCGTAGATGTTTTTGGGCTCCAGTAACCACTTAACACCAGGTGGGCTGTGAGCTCGTCAACCCATCAAAGCAATAAAAAGAATAAAAAAACATGTTTTGCTTTTGTTAATGTTTATAAATATAGCGTGGTCTTATTATTGTTTTAATATTAAATTATTATTGTCAAATTATAATTGTATGAGTTGATAAAAAATGCTATGCAATAGCTTTACCGCGGCAGTCCTCGAGTGCCACATGTTTTTTTTTTGTTTTTTTTTTTGCTCTCTGCCAGCATCCCCAGGTACACACTCACCTCTTACAGCCGAGACGCTCTTCAGCGAAATCCAGGAGCAGCATGAAGCTGTCCTTGCTGCCGGACTGCAGGACCCCGGGTACGCGGAGGTACATCATGTTGTTGTGCACAACCTGATAATTAAACATTGAAGTTTTATTTATTTTTTTATTGAAGTGAAACGTGATTTCAAACTCGATGAAACGAAAAAATAAGTCCATAGAGACACAAACATATAGATGTATAGGGTTCAGCCGGCGAGAGAATGAGATAGAACACATTAGACGTTCTCATTGTAGTGTTTTTTTTTCTATGAGATTTTTTAATACGAGTGTATGAAACCTCTTGTAGTGAATTTTAATTTAGGATTATACGTGAAGTTAAAATATCAATTCACAGAAGGCGCTACCTCATACTATAAAAGATGATTTGCAATTATTTACTAATGACAAAATTTTACATATATACTTAAGACATTTGGGATAATTGTATTTTAATTTTTGAAGGTTTCACTTCTACCACGTGTGAATTGCACACATGTTTTTTTTATTGGCGTATAGGCAGACGAGCTTACGGCCCATTGGCGTTAGGCAGACGAGCTTACGGCCCATTGGCGTATAGGCAGATGAGCTTACGGCCCATTGGCGTATAGGCAGACGAGCTTATGGCCCACCCGATGGTGAGTGGTTCCCGTCGCTCATAGACATCAGCAATGCCAGGGGCAGAGCCAAGCCGATGCCTACCGTAAAGTTACCAACAAAAAAGGAAAATGTTTATTCTAGTTAAATATACTGACTGATTCGGCGGTGTAGTGGTTAAGGGCCCTGACTTCTGCGTAGGTTCGATTCCCATGTCGGGCAAACATCGTGTTATGATCACGTTTGTTTGTCCTTTTGTCTGGGTGTTTATTATCTATATGTATGTATATTCAAACATTATATAAGTATGTCTAGTACCCATATAGCACAGGGAATCGTAAATTAGGGCTGGATGACAGTGCGTGATTTGTTCCCAATTATTATTATTTAAGTGATCGACAATGTATTCAACCAACCACCTAGAGATAAGGCAATTGAAGTTTCAATTATATAACAGCTTTCCTAGCCTTCGTATAAAGCTGTCCCCCCTCACATAAGATCAAAATACTCCCTGCCAAAAATACCTAAAAAGCATTTACTCACTTAATATCACAGTCCACCCAAAAGCTTGGCAAAAGACCTTATGTACTAAAATAAATAGACCAAGAACTAAAGATTGAATCAACGCCCGCTTACATACAATCCCGTGATATTAATTAATAAACACCACCCCGCCTATTTCTGTCGTGAAGCAGTAATGCGTTTCGGTTTGAAGGGTGGGGCAGCCGTTGTAACTATACTCGAGACCTTAGAACTTATATCTCAAGGTGGGCGGCGTATTTACGTTGTGGATGTCTATGGGCTCCAGTAACCACTTAATACCAGGGGAGCTGTGAGCTCGTCCACCCATCTAAGCAAAAAAAAACGTAGGTATAATAAATAAAATAAAGTTTTATTTCCTACCAAAAACATCGATTTTTATCGTACATCGATACTTTAAATCGATGTTTTTCTAATATCGATCATCCCTAACCTACAGTACATAAAACATTATCACATTACATGTCGATAAGGACCATTCACTTTCAAAGGTTATCTCTTGTGTCAATGTACGTAATGTGTGACACCGATAAACGTTATGTAGTAAATAATTGTAAATTATACATTCCATTAATGTTAAACACTTCAGTTGAATGATATCCATTTTTTTTTATACACACAATGTGTCATCTGGCCCCAATTCTTTTTTCTATTGCTTAGATAGATAGATGGACGAGCTCACAGCCCACCTAGTGTTAAGTGGTTACTGGAGCCCATAGACATCTACAACGTAAATGCACCACCCACATTGAGATATAAGTTCTAAGGTCTCAGTGCGGACTCACAAGAGGTCCTACCACTAGTAGTAGTATGTGTCATCCGGCCCTAAATTAGGAACCCCTGTTTGTACTATGGGAACTGAAATGCAATGATATATAAGTAAAAAAATAGACATGAATATTGCCCGACGTGGGAATCGAACCCACTAACTTTGGTGTAACAGTCCGGTGCGTTAACCACTGCACCACCGAGTCAGTCAAATTATTATTTACTACAATTATTATCATTCTAGTTTGAAATAAAAACATAAAAAATATCATTTGAAAAGCCAACAAAGCTATTGCCAATTTCAAGACTAGAACAACGATAAAGTTAAATTATTTTTAACAAAATTTAACTTTGCAATGACAGTGCCTCTAAAACAAACTTCTAGTTGACGTTAGCAAAGATAGGTAAGAGAAGAAAAGATAAGTGTATATTAACATAACTTAATCTCTATATTGTATATTTTAAAATGCGTACAGACACAAACACGCACAGTTACTAACACATACATATATGACCAATGTGGTAGATTACTATTTATTTAATTTATATCTACACATTATTCCGCTAGTTCAAAACCCTGTATCATAAAAGTTGTGTACTTATTTTGGAAGGCCTTAAGAACTCCTGCGATACAAGGTTATACTTGATTCAACCCGCTGAGATTCTTTGTACATTAAAGTTAATTGGAATCCAAATAATCTTTAAAAATAAAACTTTATATATCTACAATTGGGATAGTGGCTCACAAATTAAAATTATTTCTTTTTTGCACTTTTATAGTTGTTTTCTCAAATCTTCTGTATCTATATATTAATACGCGAAGCAAAAACTTTGTATCCCTTTTTACGAAAATTGCGCGGACGGAGGAGTATGAAATTTTCCACACTTATAGAGAATATAGAGAAAAAGTGCACAATGCTAATATTTTTTTTAAATAATGCATAAAAGATACATTAAATCAATAAATCAACCATTACACACACTACATACCGTGTATTTGACGCACACACGCATGCATACTATTTATTGTCAAACTTTTGTTCTTGACGTCTGTGGTCAAATTGAGAATAGATTAAATATTGTTTGTCTTTATTAATATTTTTTATAATGTAGCCCTTGGCAAAATTTGTGATTATAGAAGTATAAATTACAATCATAATAGTGTACAAACTTACAATTTCAATTTCAATTTCAATACAATAGTCGAATTTCGACTACTGCGGGACCTCCAGTTGTAATAATTAAAAATTATGGGTCAACTTTTGTAAGTCTTGCTGATTGAATCATCTTTGCCATCTTCCTTTTCTCTATCATTCTCTTTTCCATTTCTTACCACAATATTTTCTCACTCACATCTTAACGCTCCATTTCACACACTTTTTCATACGCTCCATTCATACCAATCCTATATAAATACTCACAGCCTCCCAACGTATAACTGTGTTCTCGGTGAGATAAATCTTGAACTCAATTTTAACGGGGTGCTTGTCCTTGCGCTCCAAGATCTTGTTGACAACCTGGAAACATCAGAGAACCATAATCAGAACATGCTGTTTAAGATTTGATATTATATAGTTTCTTTTCATTTCATTATTTATGATGATTCAAATACTTTGGTCGACACTCAAGTGACATTGAAACTTGAACATTGTATTAACTACCATTCAAATGCATCAAAACATTTTTTTTGCCCTTTTAGTCAGACTAGCATACGGCCCACCTGATGGTGAGTGGTTACCGTCGCCCATGGACTTCAGCAATGCCAGGGGCAGAGCCAAGCGGCTGCCATCCGTTAACTAATTAATTAATTGTTAATATTTAAGTTTCTTTAAACACTGAAAGAGCTAATAGTCTCTTGAGGTTTAAGAGTTTCGTGACTTTGGCTCTTTATCATCACATAAGTCGAGGGTCACCAGTTTGGGCAGTAATGACAAAAAGGAAAACATCCACTGAACTGGTGAAATTTCTAGATAGACGGACGGTCCTAATGTTATTGTTTGGAACTTGTCGACATGCAATCTATCTTGTAAATGTCGTTAGCAAGATTCAGGCATCTGACAATGTGTTCTATGATCAGAGTAAGTTTAATTATATCTTTTGATTCTGAATAAACTTAGAAAATACTATTGCTTAAACGGATGATCGAGTCCACAGTCCACTTGATGCTGAGCGGTTACCGGTGCCCGTAGACACTAACCACGTAAATTCTGCCACCCAACTTGAGACTAGAGTTCCAGGTGTCTACCACTTTTTATAACCTAAAAGGAGACACAGTGTCTACTGACTTGTTGTTGTAGTTGTAGCTGTTGCGGAGACGCTTGGCCATCATGGAGACTCTCGGCGCTGCTGGCCAAAGAGCTGGAGCTTGACCATAGCAGGGCACTTAGCAAGTCGCCTGAAGATAGGACACACAATTATCAGGACAAATCATTAGTACCAAAGCCTAGAGCAGTGGTGAGAAACCCGCGTCTCTTCCGCGAATTGTCTAGAGCAGGCACAGAATATCACTTACTATCTTGCCTCGTAAGAGACAACACTACAAAACTATATGTTAAAAAAGAGTGCGTGTACTTATGTACGCGCGTAAGAAGTTATACTTCTTTTTTTTTTAATTGAAATTTTAATCAATTTGTAAAAAAAACGATTAAACAACATCCTCAAAGACGTATATTGGACATCCCTTTTCTTGACATCATATAAATTCGGTAATTCTCGGTACGGTTCGGAAAGTTCACCTGCGGCTATATTCAGACTCGCCAAGTTATATTAAGTCGGTCGTATTGTAATGACCGATTTAGTGGGCAACTTCATTCTGTTAATTTTATGTCACGGTGCGCGTGCATCGTAAAATTTCACTCTCTTAAATTTTGCATAACGCGCCTAAAGAAGTATAACTTCAAAAACGACTCTCTCAAAAAAAATCGATTGTGTGTTATCTGTATTTGGATCTTTGGGTTGACAAGGTTGCCGACCACTGGCTTATTGTATTAGAGAGAGGAGGATGGGTAGGAGAAAGAGGGACGGAGAGGGGAGGGAAGGGAGAGAGTATTATGTATCAGTATATCATCTATTTTCCTTTAATTTTTCAACCAAATGCATCTACTATATTCTTTACTACATCACTCTTGGTCGACTGTTAGAGAATGCATTAGACATTAAGTCCGTAAATGTACAATAATGTGGAATACATGTTATATTGTAGACAAAAAACATAATTAGCATTGAAAATCAGCAGAATTTGTACAAAAGGCGGTCTTGATACCAAAAGCTCTATCTATCTCATTTAGAAAAATTCCGAAGACACGGCAAGTATGTTACGGTTTTATTTGGTATTATTGACAACATTAAGAGTGATATATGAAAATTAAGACCAGGAAATGACATGAAGTTCTGGTATTCGTTACACATAGGTAGCATCTTTGACTCTTTAGACACGTAACATGACTGACGCGTGTCGTACACGGAGGTTAATACGTATGTGTATGAGAACCATGGGCCATTTATACCAGACGACAATGTGCTAAGCCGTATTTTTGTTGCATATTCTGAGAAACTGCTATTGGATTGGACGAATCGTATCGTCGGCTATAAATTTGTCCTTTGCTAGGATCCCCACCAAACTCGACCTGCGATCCGTTTGAACCACACTCCGCAGGTCGTCTCCGATAATTCATTCATCCTTAATTAGTGGGTCTATAAAAGGTCGTCTCTATACATTTATTCTCAAATGAAGGCTCAGCTAAGCGAATAACATGGCAGTTCTTTTTTTGCATTTCCATTCTATCCTTCATCTTGGAAGACGTAAAAACATGTCAGGTACGTATATAGTTAAGATTCATTTGGGTTACAGGGTACGTCATTCGTTTCTCCCAAACAAGACGGAGTTTCATACTGGCCTATTTCTATAATATAATGATAATATTTTATTTATTTCTCTCTTAAAGGTATATTACAAACACAAATGGCAATTAACCTTATAATTTATTTTGTAAGCCTTTGAAAGAGCTGAAGTCTGTACTAAGTTCAAAGACCTGTATTACTGATCTCCTGGCTTCCCTCCTTCTTAAGATAGATTAGGTTAGGTTAGGTTAGGTAGATCATTAGGTGTTGTTATTTAGGAAGGTCATTATGCGTGTGTGTATGTGTGCGTGTTTGTGGGTGGGTGTGTGTGTGGGTGGGTGTGTATGTGTGTGTGTGTGAATGTATGTGTCTATGTTACCTTGATTACCACTAATTACGTGATGGGATGGGATATGCTTACGATTGTCGTCGTGGTTGGGGGTGGCCGGGGTAGCGGGGCTCGCAGCCCCGCCGGTCACCCCTCCGGGCGGTGCAGAGCCGTGAGCAGGGACATCAGGACCACCTGTATACAATGTTTAGGGGGTGCCGATAACCAGACAAGTAACGTGATGTCAATCTTTCAGACCAGAAGATTGTTTAAGCCATAAATAGGCAGAGCCGTGAGAGCTATCTGTGCGCCCTCCCAGCACGTGTTTCGGCTTGAATCCACTCAAGATAGGAGCAGGATAAGCTATATCTTCTGATAGCGACTACCAATACATTAATATGCACATGTAACGATTCACGTGTGCTTAGGATTGTTAAAATTGGCAAAAGCGGTTGCGTATAAGATATTTTCTGAATCTCTCTTTAAGGCGACTCTATAAGACCCAGAATGAACGAAGTGAAATAAACATATGCGTGCTATTCACACATGGCACAATTAGAATCTTCAGAAGTATTCCATCTCGTTATAATCACTACATAGTATAAAACAAAGTCGCTTTCTCTGTCCCTATATCTGTCTGTCCCTATGTATGCTTAAATCTTTAAAATTACGCAACGGATTTTGATGCGTTTTTTTTAATAGATAGAGTGATTGAAGAGGAAGGTTTATATGTATAATAACATCCATTAAATAGTGGAGAAATCCATAATAAATTACAGTTTCCGAAGCGAAGCGAGGGCGGGTCGCTAGTTACTGATATTCCATTGTTTACTGGCGGTAGGACGTCTTATGAGTTCATACGAGCAGGTACTTAACTATACTTGAGACCTTAGAACTTATATCTCAAGGTGGGTGGCGCATTTACGTCGTAGATGTCTATGGGCTCAAGTAACCACTAAAACCAGGTGGGCTGTGAGATCGTCCACCCATAAGAGCAATAAAAATAAATAAATAAAAAAGGAATGCCGCTTTCTCTCTCGGTAAATAAGGCTTAGACTCACCACAGAGGCCCGGCGCCCAGGCACAGCGAGAAACACTCGGCGTCCGAAGCCGACAGAGCTGAGCGTTTGCTGCCGGGAGCGCTCAGAGACGCCCCGTCACCGCTGCAAAGAGACCCATCATTACACATTGAGGCCATGTTACCGGTAGTTCAATTTTAAGCCCGTAGTTAAATAATAAACTTAAAATCTAAGCAAGATTTAATAATCCATAATCCTAAAATCGACTAAAATAATTACAGAGTGGTACCCACGGGATGGCTGTAGAAAAAAAAGGAAGACAGCCAAAACGTTGGGTAGATGAAATAAAGAGTGTAGCCGGCTCGCATTAGAGTCGAATGGCCAATAATAGAGAATATTGGCAATCTTTAGAGGAGGCCTTTTTCAAGAGACAATCTGTTTTGAAAACCACACAAAACGCCGAACGGAATACTTGATTATAAGTTGCATTTAAATTTAATTTATCAAGTTATCAATTAGTAAGTAAAACAGCAATAAAAGCTTATTATTATTATTATTAATCCTAAAATGCACGAAGGATGGTAGCAATCTCGAGAGGCTCATCGTGACCGGAAAGGTGGATGAGAAAAGGCCTCGGGGCGCAGCCCAATACGTGGGTCCGATCAGATCCGCGCTTGATTCGACATTTCACAATGCCCTCCACACCGCCAGAGACAAGAATAAATGGAGAAAGATCGTGCGTGCGACGGTGATACAAAAGGGTGGTCACGACCCTCAGCAGTGAGGAATACGACGAAAGGAGGAGGAATCCTAAAACCCAATGCTTGATTCATAATCTCGCTAATGACCATCACTGTGCCCAAATTCAAAGAACGATTGCATTGCTACCGGGAACATCAACTCGTGTGGCCTCACAGTATGGGCTCTCCTATCAGCAAAATTCCGAAAATGTTACCATTTGATTTCAATATACCTAAGTATACAGATTCGTTCATATACCATGAGTATTTGGAAGAATTCGAATGAAAATCGCGCGTGGCCAAATTAACCATTTAAATTTATTTTACTGTGAATTTAGCATTGATTTTTATTTTCATGATTTTTTTTATTTTTTAGTTTTTTTCAATTTTATCTCGTTTATTAACAAAAAGTCAAATCAAAATAATTTAACATAACCCACACAGTAGAACAGATCTTCCAACGCGCTTAAAGGAGGCACAGTCCCCAAGATACTGGCTACGTTGCCTCGTTGGACAGCCAGACTCACTCTCTGTGTAAAGTACCAGCCAGCCTTAGCATCATGTGTAACCTCCTTCAAGCGTTTGGAGATTTCTGTTAAAAATTTCTTTGCTTCAGGGCCCCAAGGGCCCATCGTCTCAATTGATTTTTGTAATTTTTTTTCAAGTTACAATATTCCTGTAGCAATTACTGCAAAATATGTAAAAATTAGCTCAGCACTAAAAGGGCTAATAAGCCAATGCGTTCTTTTTTTTTTCAAATTATCGTAACTATCTAGACACGTTTCGAGAATTAAAATTAATAGTTTCCGATTTATTACGATTTTATCGGCAAAACTGGTTTAACGGTCCGAGTTACGATTTCGTGAATCGACCATTAAAATTTCCAGAGGTATTTAGTAGTACTAATTTAGTACCAGTAACTCGAAGGTAACTGAACTCCCAGAAAACACATTGTTAACAATTTCATTTTATGATTTCGAGGGGTGAAAGGTTATGCTTACAGATTTTGTTGAATAAAAACTGAATATGACAAATTAATATTATTATCTTAAATACGACCTTGACCCATTATGGTATGATGAAGATATTGTTTATATGGTTTTTTTTAATGACTGTGCGATTAGGCTATGTATTTAGGTTAATGGTTTTTTTTTTTTTAAATGATCAAAATAATAATATCGATTCAAACACAAGCATCGATTTGCGATTAATTGAGACGTATATAAATAAATGAAGACATAAAATATAGATATATAATGAATATTTACTGGTGGTAGGATCTCTTGTAAGTCCACACGGGTAGGTGCCACCACCCCGCCTATTTCTACAGTGAAGCAGTAATGCGTTTCGGTTTGAAGGGTGGGGCAGCCGTTGTAACTATACTTGAGACCTTAGAACTTATATCCCAAGGTGGGTGGCGCATTTACGTTGTAGACGTCTATGGGCTCCAGTAACCACTAACAAACATGTGGGCTGTGAGCTCATCCACCCATCTAAGCAATAAAAAACAAAAAGAATAAATTTGCATTACATAGTATCTGTACACACATAAATATATACAACAGCAGATGTGAAAATTGGCTGCCGTGAAAGACTATTTTTTTAGTTTTTGATGACAATTTCATAATAAAAACAATGTTAGGCTACTGTTACTTTATTGAACACAATCAAAAATAATCTTACCAAATAATTTTAACGACCATTTTTATAGAGAGGGGAAATTAAGACAGAAATATAAAACTAGAACACTTTAATAAATCTCTATCACAAATAAAAACGGAATGTTAAATTATTTAGTCTACTCGAAAACGAAAGGAATTCCCACACAAAATCGATTTTTAATCGGCAACTTTCTATAGATTATTATGCTGTATAGCATATTACTTTTTATTTATTTTTTATTTTAATTATATTATGTAAATTTTTTTTAATGTTTCCTTATGCACACGTGTACTTTCTCCCGAGTATAACCTGGCACTGTTTTCGATACGGAACGAAAACAATAAAAACGTTGAAAAACCGGGAGCTTGCCAACGTTTCAAAATAGATTGTTGTGAGTAGAGAAACAAAACTAGAAAAAGACAAATGGGAGAAAGAATTTTTGGCGCGAGGGAAATAGCAGATTTGGTTTTCAAGGTCACGCGCCGAGTCGTTCGGGAATCGATTTTTTATTTTTTATTATGGCTACATTTTTTTTTTTTACGGAACCTTGTAACTGACGGATAGCATTATACTATGGCTTGTCTATGGCATTCTTACTGCAAATTGATTGCCAGGTGCAATATTCACATCACTTCAATAATAATTTCATAATGTTTTATTTATTAATCAATCAGTGAGGTATATAATTTTAAGCGGTATTGGACTGCAAGGAATTAAAACTTTATTGCAATCATGATGCTTAGCATCAGGATGGTGCTCAAATTAAGGTCTACAATTAATACAGAGTGAAATGTATGGGACGTGGTTTACAGGAAGCCTCTTCTCGATACTCATTAGAAGGATATTTTATATCACAGCGTTCGGAACAGGGGAGGTTTGGAAGTGCTATGAGATAACACATGACCGCGAGACTGGTAAAAAGGAAATGACGCGTTATCTCACAGTTCCTCACAGCATAACAATCGATTTAAGAGGAAATCTGATATCTAACCGACTATGTGGGGAAACCCTAAGCGAATTCGATGACCGACATATCTGAACCTCTCAACACGGGTCTGAATAACATAAGAATTCAAATGTGGACCGTAACGAAACAGCCAAGGCCTAAGCTACAAAGGCATATTAACCTGACCCTTGGTACTGCTCCATTCTACAGGTATACTCTGGGAAAAGGAGTCTTGCTGCATATATGTCACTGCTGCGCCTTATACAGAAAAAAGTAACTCTCTCCGCGAAGAATACAGCGCTTCAAAGCAAGAAACTTTTGCTGCGTATGGCTTAGAGTAATCAAATTAGAACTGTTCTTTTTTTAGTCTACAAAACTAGAACTGAACTAATTAAGTAATAATCACCACACATTCAAACTATGGTTGCTCTTCGATCTAAGTTGTTAGGTACCTGTAAAGTTGCTGCGACATGGTTTCATTTTAAACATCGGATTTGTGTTTACGTAAAATGTAAACGTGTATGACGCCATATTGATGTTATTTTTTTTCTATTTAAATTGGCCAGCCAACCTCTCACTTTGGTTACAGCGATTGACGTCACAGCTGACGTAGGCTCGAAGGATCATAATTCAAATACATATTTCGCTTGTATAGTATAGCATTTGCTGTCTTTCATCAAAAATGTACAAATACGTCGTGCATTTCCGTTTGTATTTATATATTTTTTTTAATAATTTGGCTCAAAGCCCGAGTGAAAGGCATCGCGACCACGCCTTTTGCCGGGCTGAAATTATAAATAACGCGTAAACACATTTCGCGCCAATTCTAGTGTCACGTGAGTTTTGTTTGGGTTCATAATAATTTATAATATGTTTGGTCTAGATTCTAGATATTTTAGGGGCGCCCGCTCGCCCCGGGCGTATCGGCTCAGAGGCTCCATTATACCATTCCCACATTGGTGTTCCTTCTCCAGCAAGTAATGAATGCAACTTTGACGTTCCCCGCGTGGTCGAAACGAAATTAGGGCCGGAGCGCAATGTTGTCAATTTCTCACGCAAATCCAAGCCGAACTCTATGCATTCACATTGCGAGTTTGGTTCGCGCCGTTTATCAGTACCATGTAGCCACCAAGAATTCCACATGACCACGACTGCTCTTCCAAGAGCAACCGATTATGAGTGAGTAGCCACCACGGCATACCCTATATTTATTGAATGAAAACAGCAATTTTAATGGCTTTTTTTATGATTGAATTGATTGGTTGGCCTGGAGGCCTTTCCAGTTTCACCAAGACGGGTGGGCGAGCATTGGCTCAGCCAGGAGCTTAGCTAACAGCTGCCCAAACGACTCCGAAGGAGACCTAACAACTCTAGAGCAGCTGCTTCACGAATAAATCTACTACCGGATCGGAATCGCGACCCGCCGAGAAGTTCCGGCGCGAAACTCAGCGGGCATGGATTTTAATGGTGCAATATTCGGCGTGAAGGTGCTGTTTTCGGTCTCATTTCCTTCAGATGCAGATGAATTTACGAGCTCGCGTTCACGGACGTAAGCAATGGCAGGAGAAAGCATATGATGGGCTAGTGAAATCCTGATTGCCGTTACACTACTCTTTTTCAACTTCGTTTACAAAAAGATACGTTATAAGCGCTCGGGTATCGGGGTACATGATAGTCCATCCTAGAGTTGCTACGTCATTATTACGTGATAAAAATGTTATGAAACACGCCAAACGCTATTCTAGATAAGGACCAGATGTAGGGATTTTTTTTTAGTTTTTACATTTGAATTTAGG